AGCAAGGCCATGAAAACTCCGTACTTCTATAATCGTCGTAGGCAGTGGCCACTGACTTATTAATTCTACTTTGGATGTATCAACTGCTAACCACTCTCTTGATACCACGTAACCTAGAAATACAACACGATCAATCAGAAAGGTACACTTCTTCACTGCAGCATAAAATTTATCCTACAAAGGATTGAAAAACTTCCGAAGGTGCTGGACATGATCATGATTGTTAGCACTAGACATGATCATTATTGTTCGCAATATAAATCATAATATCATCAAAGTAAATTACAACAAATTTACCGATGAACGGACAAAGAGCTTGATTCATAACTCGTAAAAAAGTACTTGGCACATTGGAAAGGCCGAATGGCATAACTAACCACTCGTATGACCCATTCCTCATCTTAAAGGCTGTCTTCCACTCGTCTCTAGGCTTGATACGAATTTGATCGTACCCACTTTTCAAATGAAGTTTACTGAACACGCAAGCACGGTAAGCTGATCCAGCAAGTCATCCGAGCAAGGAATAGGAAAACGGTAGCATACCGTAATCTTATTGATCGCTCTACTGTCCACGCACATATGCTACGTACCATCTTTCTTTAGTGTAAAGAGAGGAGGAATAGCACAATCACTAAAACTTTCTCTAATGTGCCCCTTCGTCAAAAGCTCCTCCACTTGTCGTACAACTCCTCATTTTCAGTATGGCTCATCCTGTAATATGCCTTATTAGGATTAGTAGCATCAGGCACTAAATCAATCTGATGCTGAATATCTCATAGTGTGGCAACCCATTTGGAAGCTATCATGGGAAGACCTCTTGAAATTCTTCCAGCAACAGACGAATTCTATGAGAAATTGCATATTTAGTATCAACCGACTTGCCTACCAACAAAAATACTACACCAGATTCTGCCATCTCCATCTAAAACTTCATTCTGGTTAATAAATTGGTACTTCCTCCAACTGTCTTTACTGGGCTCTTGTTGGGTAGCAACATAAGATTTTTTCTCCCAAACAGAAAACTATAGGTATTAGTATATCTGTCATGCAACGATTGTTAATCAAACTTCTAAGATATCCCTAATAACAAATAGCATGCGTCTATCTCCACCACATGAACCTGATCTTTGTACATAAGGCCAATGGAAAAACTAATTAGAGCACGCTAGAATATTTCAACATCATTACCTCTCTTAAACCAAGTCAACTTATACGGTTTTGGATGTTTCTCAATCTGCAAACCCAATTTCTTAACAACCTCTTCAGCCACTACATTCTCGCAACTCACAGAGTTAATAACAAACTTGCAAATCCTTCCTCCCAACAACACATGTAGACTAGAAGTTATTATTTCGCAACCAATCACCCTTACTCTCCATGAGAGTTAAAAAACTCTGTCTCACCACCATCACTTAACCTACATCACCAACAACAAATTCCTCCTCCTCTGTTGCTTCTTTAGCGTCTCTATTGTCAAAAGAGTCCTCTGTGCAAATTGTCTATAACCCATACCTTTACAAGTGAAACAACGAATACCAACTCCAAGACATTTTGACTATTGAACGGAATTCGCTCTAAAAGAACCAGCCTGGCTAAGATTACTATGACGTGTTGTCTGCTGCTGTGGATTACTAGAAGAACCCTTTGCAGCGACCTATATTTCGCCTGGACTGCTGCTTCTCTATCTGTATCGCCCGTTGATGTGCCACAGAAACTGTTACAGGATCAAACATATTCAGGATGTCCTATATTTGTGGATGAAGACCACCCACAGATTACGACACCAATTTTTCCTTCATTTTCCTCACCTCGTTCCTTGTATTCAACATGTAAAACTCCATCGCATAGACATCAACCGTCTTCATGCCTTGACACAAATTCTACAATCGTCGATACATGGCCTGAGCATAATTATGGGGTAGAAATTGCTTTTTTATGTGCTTTTTTAATTTATCCCAAGACCCAATCTTGACCTTTTCTATTCTAGATCTCGTCACCTTTGTCTACTGCCACCACGTCGCTGCTCGTCCACGAAATCTCGTCGCAACGAGAGACACGTTTATCAGCAGGAACCTCCTTAAATTCCAAGACCTCCTCCACTACAATCACCCAATCTAAAACTTCTTATGGACTTAATCCACGATCGAACTCAGGGATATTAACCTTAAACCCCAATTCCTAGCACCTATTCTCTTCGGCCTCTATCTTTTCAATTTCTTCTAGTAATGGGAACTTTGTGATTTATAGTGCTGCTTCTAGGAATGGTTTAGGATGTGTATTGATGCAAAATAGTAAAGTTATTGCATATGCATTTAGACAACTGAAAGAGTATGAAAAGAATTATTCTACACATGACCTGCAACTCGTTGCAGTTGTGTTTGCCCTTAAAATATGGAGACATTATTTGGATGGAGAGTGGTTATACTGATCATAAAAGCTTAAAATATTTGTTTACACAAAAGGAATTGAATATAAGACAACGAAGGTGGCTAGAGTTGGTAAAGGATTATGATTATGTAATCAATTATCATCCTGCTAAGACCAATGTTTTAGCGGATGCGTTGAGTAAAAAATCAGTACCCAGTGTTTTAACTATGATTGTGACTCAAAGATCAGAATTTGGAGATTTACAGAAAATGGATATTGAAATCATACTGCAAGGATCTGTTGAGGCTAAATTTGTAGCATTGACACTTCAGCCAACTTTATTAAATAGAACCAGTAAGGACAACAGGCAGATGATTATCAAGTCTAAGGTAAAAAATGATATACATGATGGAAAAGTGTCACACTTTTAGATATCGAAAAATGGTATCGTGCGGTTTAGGGGACGATTGTATGTACATGATATAGAAAACATTCGAAGTGATATTCTAGCTGAAGCACACATAACACCATATTCTATTCATCCGGGAGCTATTAAAATGTGTAGAAATTTGAAGTTACATTATTGGTGGCCAAACATAAAAGCTGATATAACTAAATATGTAGGACAATGTTTAACATATCAATAGATAAAGGAAGAACATCAAAAGCTAGCAGAAACCTTACAACCAGTACTTATCCCCGAGTGAAAATGAGAAAGAATCACTATGGATTTTGTGGTGAAATTATCAGAAACAACTAAAGGATACGATAGTATTTAGTTATTGTGGATAGGTTGACTAAATCTACTCATTTCATCCCAATTTATTCCATAGATCGATATGCATAGTTTTATGTACAAGAAATAGTTAGACTTTACGATGTGTGATCTATTGTTTCTGAAAGAAATTCTAAGTTTTTATCTCTCTTTTGGAAAAGCTTACATAAGGCTTTAGGAACGCAGTTATCTTTTAGCATAGCTTATCATCCTCAGACTGATGGACAATCAGAAAGAACAGTACAAATAATGGAAGATATGTTGAGGGCTTGTGTATTGGGTTTACAAGGCCAATGGAATAAATTTTTGCCTTTGGTGGAATTTGTATACAATAACAGTTATCATGCTACAATTGAGATGGCTCCTTATAAAGCATTATATGATAGAAAATGTAGGTCTCCAGTTTATTAGGATGAAGTTAGAGAAAGGAAACTACTAGGTCCTGATATATTAAGTGAAATGGCTGATGTTGTGACACAAATACGTCAACGGATGCAAACTGCTCAAAATCGACAGAAAAACTATGCAATCAAAGGAGAAGAATGGCAGAATTTATAGTAGGAGATCAAGTATTTTTGAAAATAGCACCAATGAAAGGAATTATGCAATTTGGGAAGAAAGAAAAGCTAAGCCTGAGATATATTGGTCCGTTTTCTATTATCAGGAGAATTGGAATTGTTGCCTACAAACTTGACCTTCCTTCATCAATGTCTCAAGTGCGTAATGTGTTTCATTTGTCCATGCTAAGAAAATATATTGGAAACACTACAAGAAATATATACTTTCCCTACAAAAATTCCGAAGACAAATTAAGATTTGTTGGGGGAATTCACTTTTTCCTATAAAAAGACATTTCCTATGGTTATGATTTGATTTAAATTTTTTAATAGTGGAAGGGTTTGTGCCCACAAAAAATTATACTTTTTTTGCATAATAAATTTTGAAGGGCAAGATATATCTTTAACCTACGAAAATATCAAACATATTTGTAGGCTAATAATTAAAAAAAAATCTCAATTACTATTAATTTTAATCCCCAGAAAATTTATATTGGAATTTAAAAGTATGTTTGATTGGTATGAAAAATATTACATAGAAAAGAAAATATTTTCCATCTTTTGTGGAAAATAAAAACC